ACCTTGCTCTCAATCGAACGCATATTTCTGGTCCTTACGATTTCTTTAATAACGAACAATTACAATGAATTAGGCTCCATTTTAAACCGATGTGTGCATTGAACAGTATGTTTGCAAAGAATAGATCAACCGAGTATGAAAATTGGTTTGAATCATGCACTGTTGCCCGCACTACAAAACACTATTTTTTTTTCTATTTTCAGAAAAGTCCATCACAACGTTATTGTCAAGAACAGTTCAGCTTTACAACCGGACAACAGTAAAACAATTGAAGACGACGTTTTATTGTTTTTGAGGAAAGCTATCAGTGATATTCGCAGAATTAAAACTCGCCCACCGATAAATCATGGGAGTGGATATGGTAGTGGAAGCGGTGAAGATAGGAACGAAGGTAGGAACTTTTTAAACATGAAGCTGATAACCTATTAGTTAATCAACTTAACAGAAATATGAGGTTTGAGGACAGAAATTTACAACAAAAAGATCGGTATAGGTTATGAAAACCTAAATCTGCACCCCAATATTTCGTTTCCGCCAGCGAAGCGACCAGAAATTTGTCATCCATTTTTTATTGACCTACAAGGGTTGCATTTAAGGTAATTCTTCGCCCACCCCAGGGCAGGGTTAAGATGGAGCTATTAGTAGGAGTACAACGCGTTTTATTTTGGTTGCGGAGTGCGAGCTACGAGATTCGTAGCCTGTCACGCCATGATTTCATTTGGTTTCCTCACTGCCTTGTACCTAGTGGTAGACACTTTGCGAAATAATCGATATTTCCAATGGTATTTACGCCAGTTTATGCTAGTGCTGTGCAAGTCAAAATTCCGGCTCCGGCAAGGAATTTTTAAGGAAATTTCATATTTAAAACTGGAAGCAGGCGAAAGTATTTCAGTGTAAGGCGAAAGTATTCCAGTGTAATTTCAGAATTGATCTTTTTTAAACACCTTTTTACAACACTATTAATAGTAAACAACATAGTAATATATAGTAAAACAACATATAAATAGTAATATATTAGTAAACAACAACTTAATTTTTCCATTTAATTCCAAATGTTCATTGAAGCATGAAACAATTCTTCATAATTTTGTCTGCCGGAGTTTTCCGGCTCCGGCAAAATATGCCGGGGCTCCGGCACTCCGGCGCACAGCTCTAGTTTATCCCCACCTTTGTACGGAGAAGAAATTGTAGTTAAGTTGGTTATTTTCTTACCAGGTTCTGGAGGATCAGGTGGGACCACGGATTCTTTCAGCGGCACAGGTTGTAATGATGATGATGAAGACTGTTCTGGTGAATCAAGTGGCGTTGAAAGCAGTATGTTTTTTTTATTGTTTTACCTTTATACAGGGACGTAGCGACCGGGGGTATGAGGATGTAACACCCCCAATATTTGATATTTGCTGTGTTGGTGTAGTGTACTCAGGTGAATAAGATGCTTGCGATGTTACTCTGAGTGTGTATCCACACCGGGCAGGCTTGAAAAATATACCTGGCCACGGTGGGAATCGAACCTACGACCTTGGGAATACTAGCCCAATGCTCTGCCAACTGAGCTACGCGGTTGGTTCGAATGAATGAATAGTTTGTTTAATAAAAACATCATCTGGCAGTCAGAAGACTGAATTACATGACGTTAAGTGTTACAAGGTTATAAATAGTAAAAAATTCTATATTACAATGCAATTTAAAAATTGTTAATATATACTATATATCATATACTTAAATGTACTAATCTATATGAGTTAAAAATTCCTAAAATGTTCAAGGAACATCTAATTTGTAATGTTTCTTAGCATAAAAGTTGATAAAAGAGTTTCCGAAACGATTTGTATTTGCTGGTAAAACTTCAAAAGATCTTTCTTTTCGTAATTCTCTATTGCCTGCTTTGGATGGTAAAAGTTTGGCAAGTTTATGATCATCATTTAAAACAATGTCGTTGAAGAGATTATTGGATAGATACTCCCGTCTGTTTTCAAGAGTGGAAATACCAGCGATGTTAAGAGCCTCGTCGTAAGACAATTCATAGAATATTATTTTCATTGCTCGCTTCTGTATACGTTCAATGTTTTTTGCAAGATTTCGTGGCAGGGAACTATGGAATAATTGGCACGCATATTCGAGGACAGACCTTATACAGCTGCAAAAAAATTTGACCAAATCTGCCGAAGCGACATCAGCACGTTTGAGTTGCCTCAACAAATATAAACGTTTAGCTGCTTTGGAGACAATTGAATTTACATGGTCTATCCATTTAAGGTCATTTCTTAATATAACTCCAAGCGATTTGATACTTGTCACTCTTTCCAAATTTCGGTCACCAATACGTATAGGTTCAAAAACAGGTGGTAATCGTGAAAAGGATATTACCATTTCTTTGCATTTAAATGGGTTTAGTTGAAAGGAATTGTCCATAGACCAAGTAGTAATATCATCGATATCCATTTGTAAAGTACTTTGTTCGTTTTTTTCAACAATTTCAGAGACCGTAGTATCGTCGGCAAATTTCCACATTTCTGAAAGGTGATTATGTAACACAAGGTCATTTATCATGGCTAAGAATAGCCAAGGCCCAAGTCGTGTGCCTTGAGGGACACCAGCTGGAACTTGGAGCCAGTCTGAGAAACAATTATCACTTAGTTTGACCCTTTGCCATCTATTACGTAAAAAGTCAATAATCCAGTTAACCACACAGGGCTTAATACCAAGGCTGAATAATTTCGCAACTAATGTGGTGTGATCCACCATGTCAAATGCTTTTTTATAGTCAAGAAATACAGTGCGAACAGATGAACCACTTCCATCTGTTGCACTCAACCAACAATGGAGCATCGATATCAAGGCAAGTACAGTGGAAGAATTTGGAATAAAGCCAAATTGTTGGGGATCAACAACCTTTAACAGAGTTGGTTTTACTTCTATCCGCTATCTTTGATAGAGTGGAAGTTAAGGAAATAGGTCGTAATTCCCTTTCCAAGTCTTTGACAGTAGATGTTTTTGGTAAGGGGACCACATCGGCCAGCTTCCAAATTTGAGGGACTTTACAGCTTTGAAAGGAAGAATTGATTATATTTGCAACTGGTGAGGCCAGAATATCCGAATAGGTTTTTAAAACCCAATTGGAAATACCGTCAGGGCCACTGGAACGCGATGTATTAATTTCTTGCAATTTTCTAGCTATAGTTAACTCGGTCACAATAATAGGCGTTTCATCGTTGTGTACAATTACAGCCGTATCTTCAGATAATGGAACATAGTTCTGTATCACATTTATAAAAACATTGTTAATTTTATTACTGAGGTTTATGTCTGTCTCCTGCCATAAATCTTGATGGAGGCGGTCTTTTACACTTTTGTTGTTTAGTTTAGATGTGCCACACAACTGCTTCACTTCCCGCCACCAATCTCGGGGGTTAGTGTTACGTAAATTATGAACTTTAGATTGATAATAGCTCTTACGACAACGTTTTCGTTCACGATTAACTTTATTACGTAACATTTTAAAAAGAGTGACATTACCAGATGCAAAGGCTTTTTGTCGACGATTTATCAGTGATTTCAGATTGCTATTAACCCATGGTCGATCATTAGGGTGGACTTTTATTTAACGTTCAGGCATAATTAAGTTCAAACCATAGTTTATAATGCTAGTTAAAAAGTATAGTTTTTGATCATTTGAGGGTATGGACGATAAAATGTCCCATGGAATTTCCTGGAGAAATCGACCAAGACTTCTAATATTACTGGGTCGCTTGTCTCTTGTTTTAACAATACGCGATTGTGGTTCGTGCGATCTTTTCCTCGTTCCAGGACACATGGCAATTGTTAGATGGTCTGATAAGCCAAATGGAGGAGCACTAGTAGGAGGTGAATAGTATTCAAATAGATTGGTATAAATTTGGTCAAGAATATTGGCACCTCTGGTGGGAAAATCAATTACTGGTTTTAGTTGAAAAGGTTTAACAGTAGCCTGTAAGTCCAATTTGTTGAAATCACCAGCAATAATGATTGCAGGGTTAGGAATTGAAGATTCAATATATTCTAATGAAGATTGGACATAGTCACGCATACTTGTACAATCGGCATCTGGAGGGTGGTACACAACAGCTATTATCATATTTGAGTAATTTCGTGGGAGTCGTTTTGGTTGTAAAGCTAGCCACAATACTTCGTGATTATCACTATCTAACTCCGTTAGGCGGTTGCAAGAAATGGTATTGTTAATATAAAAACAAACCCCACCATGGGATTTGTGTTGACGATCACGCCTGAATAATTGGTAATTTGTAATATTAATAGCTTCATCTGGAACGGATTCTTTTAACCATGTTTCGCTGAAAAAGGCAATATCTATATAATTCGAAGTAAGAAATACAGCAATTTCATCGATTTTCGGGGCTAGCGACATAGTGTTTGACAATAATATAGCAGGTACAAAATGCGACGAACAAGACACGGTTTTACTATTAACTTCGGGGTTCACAGATACATGAATTAAATTGCTTGACTTGATTCTCTTACGACAGATGAGGTTTGGGTTGACATTTTCCTGGTTATTATTATATAAACAATGTTCAAGTAAGCTTTCCAATTCACTTTCCATCCCGGAAGACGATTTACCCCCGGCCTCGTCTAATAATAATATTTGTAAAAGTTCATTTTGTCTCTCAACATTGTACGTGCACGAAAATCCTTTCCCGAATTTTTGTTACGTTTATTATGTTTCCTAGATGGTTTTCGCTGGGTGATGCGGGTTGGAATAGATTGATAATTATTCATAGGAGTTGTATCATCTGTAATAATTCCACTATTACTGGGATTAATTACTGTGAGATCTAGACAATGGGGACTACATTCATTATGTTGGCCATGGTAGTGGAAGTATCTTTTGTTAATATTAGATTGACAAATCTCCACACATTCCTTCTCAATTCTTTGGCTAGTATTTAATTGATCCTGAATGCCTTGTGGATTGTGGTGCAGATCATGACATGGGTTCTTTAAAATTGGTGTGTTATATGAACAACTCTTAACATTTGACTTGGCCTGACTAGGCAAATACTTTCCTACTAAGGTTTCGACTATACTGTCCGTATTATTCTGCTTTTCGATTATATTGTCCGTATTATTCTGCTCAGGTTCGTCCGAAAAATACAAGCAAGTAGGTGTAATCACAGACGCAATAGGGCTATTATAATTCGTACATTGTACAACACATTCAGCCGATGTATTATTGGGAGATTTACTTAGCTGATCCAACGGTATAGATTTTGCATCGGTTGTTGATGCTTCTAATTTCGCCAAGGTTTCCTGCAAACTAACAAGCGTATTTGCCTGTTGTTTCACTGTTGATTCCAAGATAATGACATCCAATTTAACGCCTTCGATATCAGAACTGACTTCAGGGCATTTACACATGTTATGAGACGAGCGAATATTATGGTCGTCAGCATGGGCGTACCGGAAGGAAAAAATTAGGGGGGCGGCAAGAAAATTGCCCGACTTTTCGAGATTCTGCCCGACTTTTCGGGATTCTGCCCGACTAGGACCAAAAAAATTTTTCCGGAAAAATACACCGCCAAAAAAATTTCGGTCAGTGTACCATTTTAGGGGTCAAAAAAATTTTCCGGACAAACAATTTTTTCGGAGCATAACATAAATTTTCGAAAAAAACAAAATTTGCCAAAAAATTGAATTAATTTTAGACAAAATTGACAGAATTTGACCCATTTTTTTTTATTGCAAACCAAAATTGCCCGACTGTTCATCGAATATTGCCCGACTGCCCAAAAAACTGGGGGGGCTACCGCCCCCCCCGCCCCCCCGCCCGGTACGCCTATGGTCGTCAGAACCAATGTCATGCAAAATCAACATCAGAATTGAACGTTTAACTTCACTTGCCTGCTTTCCCTCTCTCCTAAGAAACTTCTTTTTAGCCCACCAATGGATATCAACGTTTTTGCTTTTAAACAACTTTTTCTCCCCACCGATCGATGACCAAGTTCCTTCGAAATTTAGTTCGCTATCAACAAACAATTTCAGCGATTCATAATCACCAGACCACGATAGTTTTAGTTCAGGATATCGATTTATATTTGATGATTGAGTTTGATGTGTAGCTGTTGACATCGTATAGAACTAAATTGCACAGTTTATGATGTTCTCAACACAATAAGTACTTCTTGGCTGCCTGTAGCTGAATGTACCTTGGCTGCCTGTAGCTGAATGAATGACTTTACTAAATGAATTTCTTGTAAAGATGTTATTCTACAGAGTGGAATTAATAGCAGATTTTCGATGTTCAATGATATTGCCTTTTCAGTAATGTGCCTGTTGAGTAATAATAAGCCATGGCCTGCTTGTGTGCAGCGTGCATTGGTAAAATATGGACATGCAATATCAGAACTACTTCAAAAGAACTGTCCGATCATGGTGAAATTAGTTAGCCTGGCGACATGTGCTACAGATTTCATCTTCTAGGTTTCTTTCAAAGGCTTTAGATGACGGGTTAAACAATTTGAATTTTTTTAGTCGCATTTTAGTTTTCTGACTTCCATAACCACTTTAATTAACACACTGTGGTGCACAATTTAAGGTACTAGTGCAAAATAAGCCCTTTCCCTGCATACAGTCTGTCAATATAAGCTTTACTGGAGAAACATAAATGCTGACTCAGCATTTTTTTTAAACTTTGGAACGTGATATCTCTGTAACGAACGACTGAAAGTTTTCAGTGTAATATAGTTTTTTTGTCCAATTATGCACCTCAATCTGATGGCATTAAACATTTTTCGAAATTCGAAAATTTTTACCTTTCGGAACTATAGATGACGTCATCACCAGAATATAGTCGATTTCTCGTTGTTGTGCACACTTATGAACGGGGGCTTTTTTATTATTTCATTTGGCATGCTCCTCTACTACTTTATGGAAGAAATTATTAGCCTCCCGATGTGTGCAACGAAAGTCACTTTCTAGGCATATTTTTAGCCTTATGTGACGGCCTAAAAATAAAATGAATTTAATGCCACTGCACCGATTAATGTTCAGTGAGAAGGACATAGTATTGTCGCGCTAGTCGGCAGATTAGCAAATTGAATGCCGCGGTTGTCCCTATAAACAGGCAAGTTCAATCATGCTAGTCGAGGATCAAATAACAAAAAGATCGGATAATTGCACAAAACACAAATGCATAATTACATATAGAATACACGCCACCGCCCTTGCCAATGACGTAGATTGCTGGAGTGAACAAGAGAAATTGTGCTCTGTGCAAAAACCCGACCCCAAAAGCACTCATCCAAGAAAATAGCATGATCGCCCGTGCTGATCACGCTCAAATTAAGATGTAAGTGTTAGATGACCCAGAGAATACAACATTCCGAGGACAAATCCCCCACGCGATTTATCCCCGGATGTTAGAATCGTACCCAGCTTAAGTCGCCAAAGTAGAAACGCGCAAGTATTTTAAAAACGCGTTCGATTTCCAACGACCTAACGCACGAATTTGCGCATCAGAATATCCGTTCTCAGCTGCATGTGAAGCGGCGCCAATTTTAAATGAATGAGATTTGTATTTTGAAGTGTCCAGACCACAATGCCGGAAAGCCCTCTGAAGTTGAGTAGCAAATGCGTCACGCGATACTGGGTTACCGAGGTGTGAATTAAAAATAGCACCAAGCCGACTCCCACGCAAAACCAGAAAATCACTTAATAATTACACTGGCCAGATTATAGATTGACGATAAATTTCCAAACTAAAAGGCCGTTGGTTGTAATTATGTTTAAAATTTTCAAAGGTTAACTTTATGCCTGTGATCTGGTTATTCGTATCATATATATGTGAGAGATGATGCATTTGAAGGGGTTGGTTATTTGATGTTGTCATGGTAAGTTCTCCAATCCGCAGAAAAGCAAAAAATGCCAAAGAGTACATAGCTTTAAATTGACAAATCTGGTACTGAGAGCCAGCAATGTGAGGCGACGCCTCTATAATGCGGTTGAGAATTGACAGTGTTATTGGCAACCGACTATCTAGGCGGAAGCCTGTTTTACCATACCCCTTAAGTATTTGAACGATGTAAAAAACTCTCGTTGGATCAGGAAAACCTGACAATCTATGAGAATAACCAATCGCAGACACGTATGTATTTACTGTTGTAATATCCTATGTTATCACGTGGGGGACACGTGACAGGTGGACGGATATAGGCGGGAGAACATGGAGACTCGAGAACAAAACTAGCTTGTATATTTGATGTTCAAAGAGAATATTATATTGGCGACGAGGATCTATTAACACAAACAACAAAACAACCCAGCGCAAGATCTTACTCAAGTAAGAAAGATCAGTACACTCTTGTGTTCATATTCAGAAACACCAAGCCGTTTGATAGCGAAAAACGTACGCTAGGCGTCTACACGTGACGGGAAAGCAAGCAAACAAAACGCTTTAAAACTCTCGATTTAACGGCTAAAAACAGCCTAAAACACAACAAAACATGGCAACAGCTCTGCCAACATTCCCTTCCTTCGATCCCAACGCGGACCAGGGAGCACCCGGCGTCAGATTTAAGAAATACATCGCTCGTTTTCGAAATTTGATAGTTGCTACAGACATCGATGATCCCAAACGTCAAAAGGCGCTCCTATTACACTACATCGGTGAAGAAGTCAATGATATCTTTGAAACACTCACAGTCAGTGAACCGGCTGAAGGAGAAACAGTTCTAGACGTCACAATCAAAGCACTATCTGAATACTTTACACCAAAGAAAAACCCTGTATTCGAAGAATATAAATTTTGCAACGCCAAACAAAACAACGACGAAGCTCTTATGACGTACTATACACGACTCAAACAACTTTCCCTCACCTGTGAATTTCACGATGCCGATCGCGAAATCAAATCTCAGATCATCCAACACGGCCGCTCGCAACGACTTCGACGAAAAGCTTTAATCGATCCAACTATAACCCTGGCAAAACTTCTAGAAATGGGTAAAGCGGCGGAGCTAGCCGACTCGCAAGCAGCGAACTTAGAACGAACAGAGAACGTCAGCCATTTCACAACCGGAAGTAGCAAAAACCACAACAAAGCACGCTTCCAATCCCGGAGCCCCGGTACCAGGGTGAAATGTCGTAATTGTGGAGGCACATACCCGCATGAAGGCGGAAAAACTGCTTGCCCAGCATACGGAAAGGAATGTCGCTCCTGCGGAAAACTTAACCACTTTCAGTCCGTATGTCTCCAAGACAGACAACGTTCAAACCCCACCAAACCACGTCAGCGACGCTACCCGCAAACAGCCGAACGACAGGACGTCCGAGCGATGGACAACACCGCAGAAACTGACTACAGCGATGACAGCGACGAAGTTGGCGTGTTCCGAATCAACGTCAACAACATGACTTCGGATCGCAAGAAACACCCATTATTTGACGTCACCATCGAGGGAACACTGCTGACCATAATGGCAGACTCTGGTTCCAGTATCAACATTCTGGATGAGCAAGATTACAACAAGCTCTCCCCACGACCGAGTTTGGAGCAAACACGCATCAAAGTCTATCCTTACCAGACCGAGACACCCCTACCCGTCCTTGGGCAATTTACCTCCACCGTCGCATCGGAAACAGTCAACCGTACAGAGACATTCTATGTTGTGAAAGGAACCAGTGGGTCATTGCTTAGCTGGCGCACTTCTACCGACCTGCAGCTACTCAAAGTCGTAAAGCCCATTACACATCAAAACCTTCCCACCGTTGAACAGCTCACCACCCAATACCAGGACTTGTTCCAAGGACTCGGCAAGTTGAAAGATTACCAAGTTCAGCTTCATATTGACGAAGGTGTATCACCAGTTGCCCAACCACACCGACGCGTGCCGTTCCATGTGCGCAAACAACTTGAGGAACAGCTAAGTCAGGACGAAAAACTGGGTGTAATCGAACGCGTGGAGGGCCCAACCCCCTGGGTATCACCCATTGTTGTGGCACCAAAGCCCAAGTCACCCGGAAAGGTCCGTGTATGCGTTGACATGCGTCGTGCAAACACAGCAGTCCAGCGTGAACGCCACATCACCCCAACGATCAAGGAAATCATCGGCGATTTGAATGGTGCAACTGTCTTTAGCAAACTCGACCTCAACCAGGGTTACAACCAACTAGAACTAGCCCCGGAATCCAGGTACATTACCACCTTCAGCACCCACCTTGGGCTCATGCGCTACAAGCGACTCAACTTTGGAATATCTAGTGCCGCCGAAATCTTTCAGAACGCCATCCGCGAGAGTCTTGACGGCATCCCGGGCGCAATTAACATCAACGACGACATACTCGTTTTTGGCAAGACCCAGAAGGAGCATGATCAAGCACTCGCAGCAGTGTTTCAGCGGCTTCGAGAACGCGGGCTGACCTTGAACAAACTCAAGTGCGAGTACAGCAAAAACAGCCTTGAGTTCTTCGTGTACGTTTTTGGTGCGGATGGCATGGCCCCCGATCCAAAGAAAGTTCAAGATATTCTAAACCTCAAAGCTCCAACGTCAGTCACAGAAGTCCGTAGCCTGCTAGGCATGACCAACTACTGTGCACGATTCGTCGAGGGATATGCCACAATTACTGAACCTCTGCGAGCCCTTACCCACAAGAACCATGCCTGGGAGTGGATGGACAAGCAGGAACATGCCCTGGCCCAGCTCCGGCATGTGTTGGCCAATGCACCTGTCACAGCGTACTTCAACCCTGAGAAAACAACTGAAATCTCTGTTGATGCAAGCCCGGTTGGGCTGGGCGCCATCTTAGCGCAAATCGATCCCACAACCAAAGTCAAGCGTATCATTGCATATGCCAGCCGGTCTCTGACCACCACCGAGCAACGCTACAGCCAGACTGAGCGCGAAGCCCTCGCTGTAGTATGGGCATGTGAACACTTTCACCTCTACATTTACGGCAAGCCAGTCAATGTCTACACAGACCACAAGCCCCTCGTTGCTATCTATGGCAACACGAACTCGAAACCACCTGCTCGCATCGAAAGATGGGCACTCAGACTTCAACCATACCAGACCACCGTGTATTACCGAAAAGGAGAAGAAAATCCTGCAGACTATATGTCTAGGCACCCTTCCAGTCACACCGAACCCTGCAGCAGACAGGAAAAAGTTGCTGAAGAGTACATAAATTACATTGCCACAACTTCAACACCAACTGCACTCACCCTCAGCATGATTGCAGAGGCCACAGGACGTGACCCAACCCTCCGTGCCGTCATAGACGCCGTTCAATCAGGCAAGTGGCATGAACTAGCCAAGCATCCAAAGGTCGACACTGACACATTTCACACATACGAACGCCTCAAAGATGAGTTAACCGTTGGAACAACAACCCAAGTAGTCATTCGTGGAACGAAATTAGTGATTCCAAACAAGCTACAACGTCGCGTCGTGGACTTGGCTCACGAAGGTCACCAAGGCATTACCAAAACCAAATCCCTACTACGAGAGAAGGTGTGGTTCCCCGGAATCAACAAAATGGTCGAAGAACGAGTAAAATCCTGTCTCGCATGCCAAGTTGCAACCCCGGAGGCAGCACGTGAGCCGTTACAAATGTCTACTCTGCCCGATCAAGCGTGGGACGAGATAAGCGTTGACTTTGCTGAACTCTCAACAGGGGACTACCTCTTGGTAGTATCTGACGACTACTCACGCTATCCAATCGTTGAAGTTATTCGTTCAGTGGCAGCCCAAGCTGTAATTCCTAAACTCCAACACATCTTTTCACAATTTGGCATTCCAGGAATTCTGAAATCCGATAACGGTCCGCCGTTCAACTCCGAAGCCTTTGCAACTTTCGCCGCTAACCTGGGATTTACCCACAGAAAGATCACTCCCTATTGGCCAAGAGCCAACGGCGAAGTAGAGCGGTTCATGAGGACGGTAAAGAAGATCGTGAAGATTGCACTTACACAGCAGAAACCATGGCGAGAAGAACTAACCAACTTCCTTCGGAACTTCAGAGCTACACCACACAGCTCAACTGGAAAGGCCCCAGCAACAGCCTTCTTCAATCGCCAACTCCGAACGAAGCTACCCGATGTACACACCAATGCACGGGACCCAGCCGAGATCCAAGAGACGGACCAGAAAGCCAAAAGAAAGATGAAGAAATATGCTGACTCGAAAGCATATGTCAAGCCATCAAGAGTACGACCTGGCGAGACCGTGGTCCTAAAGCGTGATCCCTCACATCGAAAGTCCGAAACCCCGTATGAACCAAAGCCATACAAAGTAATCAGCTGCAAAGGCTCGATGGTAACCGCCACGCGAGGGGAAAAGACAGTGACCAGAAACTCGTCGTTCT